GGTTGCGATCCCATTACCGGTCAGTAAAAAAAGACAAAAAGGAAAAAAAAAAAAAAAGAAGTCACTGGAAGGAGAACTATATGAAATTAAATTGGAGAAGGAGGCAAAAGCCAGATCTACCATCAGCTTGTTTACCATGAAAGGGAGCCTAGATTTTATTCTCAGATCTATGGGAAACCACTGGTGTTTACTTAGAGGTCTTATTTATTTATTTAACTGGGTTTTAATTGGGAGTGTTACATGACATGAATTACATTAAACACACACACACACGCATGCACGCACGCACGTGCACACACACACATGCATATACTACTCTTGACCCCATATATGGGAACTATAGTGGAAGAAGGTAGACCAATTAGGAAATAATTGCAGAGGCAAGAAATAATGGCGATGTGGACCCCAGTTGTAGTAGTGGAGATGGACAGAAGTAGTCAGACCCCAGGAGGCCTTGCTTATGTCTTCAGCTCAGACTAAAACCTCCTACCAATATCCTCATAGCATCCTTCCATCCTCCTAGCTTAGCACCTGCCATGTTATATAGAACTACTTCATTTAGGTATCTGCCTGTCTCCTCCATTACCTTGCAAGCTCTCCAGGGGAAGGGGACACAATTTTTGGCATATAGTAAGCATGTGGTGACCTTACATGGTTTTTCTGTGTTCATTTATTTTACTTCTAGTTTAGTTTAATGTAACTGGCACACTAAAACTACATTAAACCTTATTCTGCTGCATTGTGCCATCAATAAGTTTTTCTTATTATAGCTACCTTAGTTGTACTAACATTTGGAATATTCTGGCATAGAGGAAATTATGGCTTGAACTAGAAGATAACTGAATGAACACATACATAGGAATTAAACAGATTTCTGTTTCTAACTGCAAAGGATATCTACAGCACTTCCTTATAGGGATTTTCAATGTGCACTGCAATGTATGAAGCTATAACAATCCCCAAATAGTCAAATATTTAAATGGTCATTCTAAGAATTTTAAAAATAGATTTTAAAAATGGTCATTCTAGGGATTCTAAAGATACATATACTTGAAATATACCCTTGTATATTTCATATTATGTGTGTACATAATATAAACACATATATGAAACAGAGGATAAATTTGAGTTTATATAGTACATTGATCCAAACACAAACTTGCATATTTTCTCTAAATACCAGGTAAAAACAGCTTCTCCATTTATGAGAAGCTCCAAACCCCCAAAGACCTTCAAGTAAATGAAGTATCTTCCAATAAAATGAAACCTCCTATCGCTGTAAACATCCTTCATACAGCTTACCTAGGTCAATATTAAAACTACAGTTCTATGTTGAATCAGAAAATCAAAGAGTGTGCTCTGTC